TATGTGCATTTGTCTCTGGGTATTTGGGTACAGAAATGAGGAAATGCTAATGGCAACTTGTACTCTAGCCCTGAGGTGAAATAACAGAGACTGTTATGAATTGTGTGAATTGTGAATGAATTGCGTTTAGCAGATTTGTTTCAGATTAGAATTTAAAATGTGGGCGAGCAGTTGCATTATATGCATAAGTGTGTAAATGACTAAAGATAAATGCAGATATATGAGCCATCAGGCACCTTTAAAAAGACCTATCACCACCCACATGTACAATTAGGAACACTTCAATCTAAGCCAATCCAGTATGCCATAATAACCCACAATCACTTTACTGTTAAAAAGTTAAACTATCAACTTTCTAGAAATGTCAACAAAAATAAAAACTTATTTATGGAAATGCTGCTTTAGTGGATTTGGGTTAGGTTACACAGTGTTTACTAATAAATAATAATATATAAATGAATGAATATTTAAATACTCAATCTAGAATAGCACCTCTTTGAAAAGAAAGAGTCCTAGCTAAAAACACATATAGATATATATTTAACAAATACAACTATAACTGTACCTGTGCAGGTGACTGTGGCAGAGGTGTGTGTGTGGGGCTTTGAAGTGATGTGCTACTCTGGCTAGATGAGGCAACCTGAAGAGGGACAAACAGAGAAACGTGGGTGAGAGAAAACAGTGTAGATCAGGGGTGTCCAACTCCAGTCCTCGAGAGCTACTGTCCTGCAGCTTCTAGATGCATCCGTGTCTCGACACACCTGAATCAAATCAATGGCTTCTTACCAGGCCTTTGCCAAACTTGATGGCATGCAGAAGAGGTAATCCAACCATTTGATTCAGCTGTGTTGGAGTGGGGATGCATCTAAAATCTGTAGGACAGTAGCTCTCGAGGACTGGAGTTGGACACTCCTGCTGTAGATATTTACATAAACAAAGATACTCTTTATGCGTTTGACACCGAACAAAATGATTAATTTAGCAAACTGCCAAAAGATAATATGGCTGCATTCTGCCAAAATAAGTGTTACGATATAAATTTAAATGTGACCAAATTATAAAGGGTCATAATATAAATGTTATAATTGAGTATAATTTATTGCTCAATCAAAGTTCAGTTCTTTAAAAACTGTGCCAGCTCTGTGGGAGTGGTTACTCTGAAATGACCAAGGCGATATGCCAGTAATTTCCAATGTGTAAGTGCTAAAAACTGCACTTCCTGAGACTGCCAATAAAAAGCAAGTTTATCAACAGTTTCCCATGTTAAACCGAAACACCAAAAGCCAAAACAGTTTTTGGCATCTAAAGATAACTTTCCCATTCCTAATGACTACATGATGGGTGATTTGTGCATTTATTTATTTTTTGTGTGGAGTTCATTCATTTGGTTACTGGGGCATGTGGCTCCAGTGTGTCCCCAGGGGTGTTGGACCCCAGAGCGTACTGATTAACACATTGACCTTACACACAAAACAAACTGGTTCAAGACCGGAAGGCAACAGGGACAACTGGGATCAATGACCAAATGTGTGGAGCACTGTGGCCACCCCATGGGAAATAGGCGAGCAGCTGCAACTCTTGTAGTTGGGAGTAGCCCACTTTGAGCTACATTTGAGCCAACACAAAGAGCTGTGAGCAAGGCTTCACCTCCTCTAACTGACCTCACTAATGGGTTTTGCAGGTTGCAGCTCCAAATAAAGCTTGAGGTGATAAATTTCCACCTTTCTGTTCAAATCTAACTCCCAATAACTAATAATTAGGTGGCCAAAACACAGAGACTTGAAAATAATGCTAAAAACCAATGCCTACCTGTTGGGCAGTCCCAGAAAGTGGTGGCTGTGTGCTGGCAGGGACCAAAGGAGGTCCTGAAGTTGGCTGAGGGGAGGACACCTGAGTCTGCTGTTAAGAGTCAGATTTAGAGAAAGAAAGACAGAAAAATGGAAAGACAGGACCAGATGCAACGTCGTAGGACAAAACAATGGAGGATGGAGGAGAGAAATTGAGAGAGATTATGGACAAGAGAGAGTAAAAGAGAGAAAAAGACAATTAGAACATGTTTGTAGCTTTTGGATCCAACAGTATGCATGAGTACAAACACAAGGCAGTTCTGCTCTTCTCTAGCAATCATTTTTAATCTAGATCTTCCTCTTGTGTATGCACACATGCACACAGACACGTATACTCTAATCCGACGACAGATATATGCACACTGATATCTAATGTATGCATATACGCAGCTTGTAGTATAGCATGTACAACAGTATGGGCACGGCACTGGGGTTAGGCAGGGTGTAAGTAGGATTTATTTAACATGCAGGTCAGGACCTAAGTCATTAACAGTGATGATAAAAAGGTGTTATATAGCCAACAAAGCACAGAGTAAAAATTGGAATACTCTCTATGAATTAATTAAGATGTTTTAAAACACTTGCTGCTTTTTGCCCTACCTCTGACTCTGACAGAAAGTCTGATTCACTTGAAATGATGCAGGCTTTCTTTTGAGTCAACTTATCATTTCAATTGTATATTTGATTTTCAATCCTTTAAATTTCATGATGGTCATCACCCTGACAGGCTCCTGTGTTCACTTAACGAATTCTTCAAATACTCCACAGTAGCACAGAGATGACTACAACCAATCCACTGATGACTGAACCCTTAGAAGGCCGGAAGCAACTGTATACTTGTCGTGAAGCTCATCCCGAGAAAGTATGGGGGAAGCTTACGCAAGTATGGTACGTTGCACCAGACGTACGACTACCTAGCTTTTACTAACATTACAGGGAGTAACACAAACACATAAGAGGTTGCACATATGCGATATTTAATAAATAACGTTGCTAGAAAGATCAAGAACTTAATATAAATGAGATGGGAAAAAAAGAGCTACTGATGGACGATGAAAAGGAAAATGAATAAAGGAAAGAAAGTAAACAAGAATGTCAGCGTTCTAAGGGTTTAAAGAATTTCAGCTGTGACCTTTGAACCCTGTGTAGGAAGTTGATTTTCATTGTGGGCAGGAAATGATAACATAATATGTTAAATTAAAGAACTGGCTCGAAGCCAAGCTCTTTAGCATTTACAACACAAATTGTGAAACAGACAGATGAACGTCTCTCTGCATGGTTACATTGCTATTTTGTCTAAGCCTCCTTTAGTTTTGTTGTATGTTTCTGTGTGTTTAAGCATACAAATCAGCAAAGTCTTACAGCTTTATGTGAATTCAGACGTTGCGTTAAATGTCATAAAATGATATCAAATGCGCGGATGTCGACGTCTTAAAGATGCTTTTTTTAAATGTACATCTAGATTATTCATCTTAACCATTAACCTTTAAACTCCAGATCAGACTGACTTTGGATTTGTATGGGCTAAAATTCAAGTATACCGTAGACACAGTATACTAGCACAAACACACATTTCTCATATACTTTCATATATGAACATACAGACAAAATATTACTTACTGATAACACCAAAAATTCACAACATAAACACAGAAAAGAAGGGAGCTTAGACTCGGCTCATAAAGCTTTTACACCACAGAGTGTCCCAAAGAGTCTTACTTTCAACGTAATTATCCATTTACTAAAAATAATGCCTCATATGTTGAACTTAAAATTAAATGGTTCTGGTTTCATGTTTTTAACTAAAATATTTGAAAGAATCACCCCTTTTCCTTTAATGCTGTTGGAGAATGAAGAAACTACGAAGGCAGACTCTCTGTGGTGCTTGCATGACAGAAAAGGGGGATTAAATCACAAAGACTACATGATGACATAAAGAAAAAAAATACCATAAATAAAATATGGAGGAAAAAAAAACAACAGGGATTGGTGTAACAGACTCTGGGTCAGATTACCAATAAAATTCAATTTCTTTTGCTACATTGCACAACTGTGTTCCAATTATTTACTGGCTACGGGGTCCAAGAACAAGACTGTCAATCTGTGAGCTGTTAATAATTTATAATCAAAAGCAGAAAATACCACAATTTAGGAATTACATTTTAACCATCAATCAAAACATTCTATGTAAAATTTTGGTATAAATTTCAAAATCTAAACTAGTAACTGACCCAGAGGTCTACGTGTGGTTTCTAGTTCTAAACATTGTACCAGAGGGGGGTTAGCGGCCTGCATGGCCAGCAGTGACTCGTGGTATGTCATATCAGGTTGTGCTGGCACCATTCCCCCGTGCCGGGCCCAGGAGCTCTGGATCAGAGACTCCAGCTGATTTGATGACGACCCCCCAAGCGGGAGCTCGGACGATGGTGTGGTGGGCAGAAAGTTCTGCACTGAAGGCGGATGCCCCTGAGGATCTGCGTGAAGAACTCCCCCTGGTGAATCGTAAGGCGCAGTGGAGGACGAGCGAGGGATGGACTGAGCAGCTGAGAACTCGAAGGAAGGAGGATGAGGTGGCGGAGGTGGTGACTGGAACTCTCCTGCATCAGAGGAGGTCAGAGAGTCGCTGGAAGGATCGGGACTTCTGTCTTTTACAGCCAAACCTGTGTGGTGAAGGAGGAGACTTCCCGGAGGTAAAGGAAGCTCCGGACTCACGTAAGAGTACAGCTCTTCTGTCACTGGCTGCAGACGACTATATGTGCCGGAGCCACTGGATCCCGTCCCAGGGCTGTCCTCTAGAGGGAGATCCATAGAACTCCGTCTGGCCCGGTAAAGTCTGGATGCCAGGAGGCTTGGATCTCCTGCAGCGGCTGCAGCTGCAGCGGCTGCAGCTAAATGAAACTCAAAAACACTTCCGGTAGGTGGCGGGGCGTCGGGCATTACTGGAGGTGCAGAAATAGGAAAGGAGGATGAGGAAGCATGCTGTGGAGCATAGCATCCCTCGGATGATGAAGAAGACATAGAGCCAACCGTGGATGCACTCATGGGGGGTAAGGGTGGCGGTATTGGACTGTGTGCACTCATTCTTTGCAGGATATGAGGATGTAAGAACCCTGCTTGAGATGGAGGACCAGGATCAAAACCCAAACCAGCAGCTGCAGCTGCTGCCTGCCTCTGCTGATGGAAAAGCTGGTGTGCAGTCATTGGGTAGCCTCCATATGCCATTGCTTCATAATGGTCCAATAAGGCTGCTTGATTTAGACTGAGTCTCCTCACTGCTTCCTCGTGCTCTGCTCTCATGTCTTTGAACCCATACAAACTTGGATCAGATTGTCCTGGGAGATGGAGGGGTTCCCCAACACCAAGTCTTTGAGCAGCTGCTGCAAAACCAGGATTAACCATGAAGAGAGAAGGAGCCTCAACGCCCTCCATGCCAGAAAAAGGGTGGAGGCTGCTCCCGTAACGAGGGTAAGCAGGCTGAAAGTGTCGGGTATGCGCCTCGAGAATGGAAGTGCTCTTGCGTCTCTGAGTGTTGTAGGCCTTTGGAGGCCCAGTAGGAGGAGGTGAGAAGGAAATGGGACGCTCGGGGATAGAGGGGAAGAAAATAGTCGGGGGGTCTGGGAGAGTTGGCAGAGGGACGTTCCCTCCTGCTCCTCCTCCTGTGCTTGGTCCTCCGCTGAAAGGGTGTGGCATTGAATGCTGCTGTGACAGTGAGATACAATGGATTTAAGAATGACACTCAGAGACAATGACACAGAACCACAGTAAAGGCCCAATGAAATGGAAAAAAAGAGCATAATTTCAAAGAACACCCCAAAATAAAAAGGGGGATGGGAGGTAGTCACCTTCTACACTTAAAGGAAAATTATGTGGTTAAAAGCCGTTTAACAAAGTGAACCAAACTGGTAATGAAGAGATGGGAAACTGGTTACAATAGACAGATCAAGTCACACACAGCTACAGCACAAAGACAGGAATACCACTCAGAGACAAGACAGAAAAGGACAGATATACACCATCACAGGTGGAGAGAAAGTGAGTTATAAAATGCAAAGAGAGGAAAGGTTGTCTCAAAGGTTGACATTATCCTAATGCATCTGCAATCAGGAAAATTGTGTTTTATTTCAAACATATCTCTGCAAAATGTTGACCTTTTAAGCAGCCAGCTGCCGCTTGCAAGAAAAGGTAGACTGCAACACTTTCCAGAAAGTGCAAATATCTTCTTACAGATTCTTCAACCGTCACCTACGTCAGCGGTCCCCAAGCCTCGGGCTGCGAGAGCTGAGGCTCGGGTGTGAAACTTATGGTTTTCAGGGCTTTTATTGTTGACTCTGTTTCCCTAGGTCTTTTCCCGTGTTGTAGTTGTGTGTCTTATTTTGAAAGAAATGTTTACGCGTTACCATTGTGACCAGAGAGCGTTAAGGGGCAGAGAGGAAAAGCTCCTCCTGAAATGCGCCAACTCTCAATGTTGTTGGCGCATTTAAGGAGGACGCTGCTAATAAAGTTACAAAATTACACGGTGAATATGCGTTTATTATTACATTTACAAAATACCACAGTTTTTGTCTTGGTCGTATCATTTAATTTTGTCGTATTTATCCGTGACACCTTAAAGGCCAGTCTGTGAAAATATTGTCTGACATTGAACCAGTCCGTGGCGGAAAAAAGGTTGGGGACCGCTGACCTACGTCACATCTTCGCTGTCTCTGCATGTTATGGGAACATCCTGCATTGTTTTTATACCAAACTGCTGTAAAGTAACCAGTTTTCCTGATTCAGGATGCACATTTTATTAGAGCATTTGACTACAGAGCAGGGTTAAAATAAAGTGCAATCACTGCGTATTTAATAGGACTATGCGGTGGCCAGTGGAGGCAGAGAGAGTTTTATAGAGACGTATGTCTAGAATCAAAGACTCACAAAAGAGTCTGAAAATCTAAATGGAAAAAAAAAAGTGAACACTTAATACACGTATTTTTGTGTAACAGGCTTGCTACACTAACCCTTACAGGAGCGCTACTCTAAGCATACTACCTTTAGTTCATGTAAAGTATCCTTTATGCCAGCTGTTGCTCTTCTAACTCACCATTTTAACTTTTACTGAATTTCTCTGAAGCAATGAGCTTGTATATTTTTCTATATTTAATAGTGCAAATGTACATTTCTTAAGATCAACAAAGGACCTTATCCTGGTTGCTTAAACCAGAAAAATGTTCAAATCGTAGCCAAGAAAAATAATCAGCACTCTAGTGAGCATGAAACAAACTGTATCAGTTAGTAATATGCACATGGTGTCATATTGTGTTTCCATATGCAGCATCACTTGGAACTTTTCAATAATGCAATTTTGCATTTTTATAAATCTTTCATTTCAGACTCAATGTGGCCCATGTCCATCATCTTTTTCTCTCTCGTCCTCTTTGGTTCCACCACTATGGCCCAATTATCTCTTTAGAACCTACAGGGGTTGAGAACAGGGCAGGTAGGCTGGCCCGCCGCTGCCTGGCCCTGGGCTGAGACGAGGCAGAGTGAAGGGGCAGGACTGTCTCCAGGGCCTTGGAGAGGCACCTAGTGAATGTGTCCCTCTCTGATGTGAGAGGTGTGCATGATGAGGCAATGGTGTAAGGGGACGAGGAGGACAGGTCTGGAGGTGTGGCGGGCTGTTTGGGAGGAACAACCTGGGTCGGAGGAACGTGAGAAAAGGAGTAGGAGGAAGGAGGAACGCAAACAGACATGCTACGACATCGACGGTGGTGCGACACAGGCTGCAGGCCAGGGAGGGTGGATGGAAGAGGGAGTGACCAACATGAAAAACAAACACAAAAAGAAAAAAAAGCAGGAGAAAAGGTACTTAAACACAGATTGCAGCAGTTATAGAGAAAATTAAAATAAAAACCAAATCATACCATAAATAAAAGCCACAGTTTTACAGTTTTTACATCATCGAAAAAAACCCCAACAAAACAATTACAGTTATTTTGTGAGCGAAAATGTTTCAGATTTATAAACAACAAGTTTCTCAATGGAGCTAATCATTTGCAAGTCATCTATCATACCGTTAAAAGTGTCCAGTTTCACAAATATCACAAAGACACAAAAATAAACTGTAAATTAAAGAAACAGAAAAAAATATGTCAGACTTCAAATGGAACAAAGAATGATTTTTCAAAATAACTCATTAGGACCTCATTTGATGTTATAAACAAGCCAGTCTGTCTATTTCACCACCTCCAAAAATTGGCTTTGATGAGAAAATAAGCTTTCTGAGTAATTCAGTTGCAGTTCAAAGAAAGCCTTAAAAGGACATTATTTAGTTATATAGTCAATCGGTGTACATCTAGGTCAGGGGTTAGCAACCTTTAACACCCAAAGAGCCATTTGGACGCGATTTCCATGCAAAAGAAAACACTGGGAGCCGCAAATACTTTTTGACATCTAAAATGAAGATAACACTG